AGTAAGTGAATAATGGCATTATAATTGCTTGTTTACTATGGAAGTGCGATTAATGTTCATGCAACAATAATAGAACCAGATTACAAAATTTCTTCTACATCGAGAATGGACTTAATTATAATTTAAAAAATGCAGGTTAAAATTATTTCCGCTCAATGGATAGATCCAAATTCAGCCCTCTCTTTTTACCATTTAGATCTCCACACTTTTAATTAATTTTATGGTTTTTTTTTGCAAATATGCAACTCGAAACCATAAAATCACCAGAAAAGGACGGTAAAAAAATTATTGCTTTTGAATTATGATAAGAGAAAGAACTATCTTTCAAAAGGCTAAAAAACACAAAATGAGAACGGCGAATGAAGTTCTGAAATGTGTGAGCAAAAAAACCACTTAAATATTTTCATTTTTACTTAAATGATTACATAATTAAACAATTTAATTCTCAATACAAACGAATTGAAATGAAATTATCTCTTTGATAATCGTAATCGTTTTTTCTTATTTATATGAAAAAATTTGCAAAAAATAAGAAGCATGAAAGAATTACTGATGCAATTAAGCGATCACACAATAATTACATTATTGTTCGGAAAAATTTTAGAAAACAGCAAATAATAAGGCGGATAATTTCAAAAATTAAAAAGGCAATGACGAAATAAATGAAGCAATCTGAATTAATTTATCCCATATTTTTGATATGGAAAAATTGATAAGCGATAGTACTGAAAAACGAAACAAAAAAAAAAGACAAAAAAGGGAAATGAAAATTAAAAAAATAATAAATAAGCAAAATTTTTTATAAAAAGAAGCATTAAACTTTTGCAATAACAATCATAAGAAAAGGTATAACTTACTTAACTTATCATCACCGTTATTAAATCAAAGAAATACGAAATAGATAACTGAAGAAAATAGGATGGAAAATTTTATAAAAATAAATTAGAAAGATGAAAATTTAAATAATTAAAATATTTTAAACAAAACAAGCAAACAGACAAACAAACAAACAAATAAGCAAAATGAAAAAACATCGAATTGAAAACTGAACTATAAAAAAAGATGAAATAAAATGAAAAAATGAATAAAATAAAAAATAGTAAAAAAGATTACCGTATTATGTACATACTTTTATCATTTCATTTATAAATATATCACAGCAAATGCTTTGATCACAAAAAAGCAAACGCATAAATGTTCATTTGAAATAATATACATTTTATAAATGATAAAATAATGCATGTATAAAAAATATATCCCGATTTTAATTTCATTAAAAACAATTTCAAATATTACGGAAAAAGAAAAGTAACAAAAAAAAACACGAAAATTTTCATTCTATCGAAAGAAGATTTTTTTTAAATAATTAATTGAATCAATCAATTAATAATTTATGCAAAAATTTTTTCTTTATTAAATAAACAAAAAAAAAAAAAAAATAGAAAACTGATGAATTCACGATGTATCACTTGTTTGAAAACCGCTATCCGTTGTATCATTACCATCTTCCTCCAACATTCGTCGATCATTGCTTAAATTTTGGCTAATACCATTCTCTTTCATCAACATGACAGTTTCATCCGAAAATTCCGGTATTCGAACTTGCATATCAGCAATTAATGTTGTTAGCTCATCACTGGTGATAGAAACCGCATCACCGCTTACATGTGATCCAATTGCACCCGTCTGAAATAGCAAAAATAAAGTTCTTTCTTTTTTTTTTTCGTTTTCTTTCAAGTTCTGAAGTTGAAGAAAAAATGGTTCGTTTTTCTATTTTTCGTTTTCTTGTAATTAGTTTAATAACTGTAATTGGCAAATCAATTAAGTTATGTTGAAAGAGGAAAAAATTAAAAGTAATTTTGATTAGGATAAAAAATAACAGTTGAACATTATATAAATGTTATGAGATGCAAGTTTATTTTAAGTGCATAAATTCATTTCAATGCATTTTTTCAAAAAATCAAAAAAGAAAAAGAAAAATTTTTTTTCGATTGTATTAAAAATTCTAGCAGATACAACAATAGAAAATATTGTAGTTTGAATTGAATGAACCTAAAAATTTTCATTCTGTACAATTGAAATATTAAAATTTGAATAAGTAAAATGATAAGTAAAAATGTGCAATATATTAACAAACCGAAGAATCATCATCCAAATCACACACTGAACTTCCTCTTAACTGAGTGTGCGTCCATTTTTCAGCCTTCTGTAATTAAATATTAAAATACGAAAAAGTGTCATTGGATTTTAATATTTTATAATATACAATGATTCTCGTCTCTTATGAAAACCAATCAAAAACTTTCATTACAATAAATGACCTTTATGATAGATTTTTCAATACTTACTTACTTTCAAATAAGTAATAATTTTTACGTCAGACCTTTTTTTCACAGCTAAATTAGCAAAGATTTTGCTCTTAACAATAGAATTTTTCATTATTTTCAATAAAGAGAAGATTTAAATTCATGATAATTTTCAATATTTATGTAAATTTTAATAAACATATAAATGAAAGTTACCTTGAGTTCGAGATGAGTAATAGTTTGTTTTAAATCAGCAATGTGTTGCATTGCTTCGCTATACTTTAATCGCTCCATCACTGCTCGTTCTTTTAGCTCACTTTCTACCTCAATCGCTTTACGTCGCTCTTCCTTAATTTGATCCGAAAGCTCTTTTTGACACTAAAAATTAAAAAAAAAAAATTATAATTTAAAACGATTAAAAATTTTAATCGAAAAATATTATAATTTAAAAAGGTAATTAAATTTATTAATGACAATTATAAATATTCATAACAATGATGATTATGAGAGCAATTTTTGATCGTAATATTTTTAATAGCAAGAAATCATTATTATAATAATAATGAATGATGAAAAAAATAGTAAACCTGTAAAATATCATTTTTTTCTTCACGCAATCGTTTCATTTCTTCATCTTGTCGTTTAAGTTGATTTGTACAGACATGATTCTGTAGGAATAAAAAGAAAAAATTCAGTGAATTATAATAATTAAATTAAGATATAAGTGCATACATTTGTTGTTACATATTTTCCTTTTATTTTCATTTCTTAAAGAATTGTAATTTTATGTTAATTTATTTTGTGGAAAAATAAATATTTAATATGTTGTTGTGAATTATTTGTTAGTTAATAAATTAGATGAAACAAAGATTAATGCCTTTTTAAAAATATTAGAAAGGAAAAAAAAAGACGCATTTCTCAATATTTTGTTCAAATGTATTTCATTTAAATCTCCAACATTTGGAAAACCAATTTATGTGTTAATGCAATTTGTTTATGAATAAGTAATTAAATGAATTTTGAAAGAAAAATCACCATATGAAAAATTAATCGAAATTAGAAATGAAAAGCAGATAGATAATATGAGTCGATTCCATGAGAATATATTAATGAATGAATATATTTTAACTTTACATCCATTAATAAATTTAATTCCAACATTTATTTTTACAACTTTTACATTAAATTTTGCTAATAAATTGAGAAACTAACTTGTGTTTCTAATTCCATCACTTTTTGACGCATTTCTTTTAACTCAGCAACAGTATCCGCTTCTCGAATTCGTACACCCATTAATTGATCTTCAAGTTCTTTGATTGTTATACAACCTGCAGAAAATTTTTGATCTAAATTCATCAATATCGTATTATTTCATTATTGCAAAAGCGGTAACATGTAATACTTTTAATATAGCAATATTGATTGACTCTTTTTTCCTTTCTTTTCATAATTCTCTTAAATACCATCAAAAATTTATATGCATTTTTATTCTTTTTAAACAGAAAAAAAAATACATTATACCAGAAGAATCTGAAGGACCGATAGCATCTGATGATTCAGCATTGATAGTACCAATTAGTGTTGCTGTTAATTTAGCTAAACGTTGCCGAGCACTTTGTGGCACCATCGTTGAAGATTGTTGCTGTTGTTGTTGTGGAATTTTATCATTTGGTGTGGTAGCTAAAATTTAACAATATCAAATTAATATCATATCCAATAAAAAAATGAAAATGTACGAGAAAAAAAAAGATAGCAAAAGATGTATTTTATACAATAAAAATTGATTTAATTTTCAATCAGTTCCTCTTTATTTTTAATTAAATGGTACTTGAAAAAAACCATATATATATACTTATATTAATAGTTTATTGAAATAAATTGTATTAATAATATTTCTACTCCAAATGTATATATTTTTTCCTACATGAAAATTTAACCATCAGCACAAGAAAAAATAAAATACTTAAAATCATTCGTACCTTCTTGTGAATCACTGACAGAAGTGTTATTTAGTTGCAAGTTAAAATTAGAAAGTGTTGAACGTCGTTCCAAGCACGTTTTTGACGTATCATTTTCCAATACTCTATTGCTAACATATTTCTGTAAATTATTTTCAAATATAATTTATTTAACTTATTGTTCCATTTAAAAAAAAAAGTACGTAAATATTACATTAAATAAATTGAATATTGTACAATTCTAAT